TGGCCAGATAACTTGATAAAGGCGGAGAACACTCTGCATAAGAAAATGTTCACGAAGTCTTCATTATTTTCAAGATCATCGCAGTTAGATACGCAAACTTTGAGTTTCGATAAGAAAGCCTGAAAAAAATCAGGCGCTTGCCGGGACTTGATCCCTGACCTCTAGAGAAGAAGCTATGTACACTAATCGAACTTGCAAAAGTGACAACAGCAGCTGAACGCTCTGAAAAGTGTTGCAGTGGAGCCCAGTTAATACGGAGACCAAGGGCACATGCCATACTGCCCGTATTATCCTGGTGTCCGTATTAAGCGGGCTCTCAGAAAAAAAAAACAACAGCAACAAAAACAAAAACAAAAAAAAAAACAAAAAAACCGTTAAGGAGACATATTTAATTGATATAAAGTTACAAAGTGGACATGACTAAAAAAAAAAGCTAAGGAAGCGAAACCTGAGTAATAAAAGGGTGAAAACTTTATTAAAGGACTACAGTAAAATGGTCAAACACTGCAAGAAAGACGGACTGATCGAAATCAAACATGTCACGTATCTTTGCTACTGTTTTTTACGATGGTAAAATCGCCTAAACCCCTATAATTCTGTCATTATTTGCAAAGGTTACAATGCCTAGAACTCAGTAGCACATAAATGTGACGATAAAAATAGAAAGTGTGCAGATAACCAGCGACCTTGAAGGGGGGCTAACGATATATGAGAGATGGTGGCTAACTCGGGACACAAAAGTGTCTTTTGTCCTTATCAAGTTGTGTCCGTATTAATTTTAGAGCAAATTTAGGAGCTTCTAGTCGGGACAAACGAAACTGTCTGTTATAAATGGGTGTCAGTTTAAGCGGTTGTCCGCAGAGCCGGGTTCCACTTTATTAGGCTTACACCAACTTCTACGAGCAATTTCTGTTGTCTGATGTACAATTATTGGACGCCATACCTTTCCCTGTTTTTCATTGCAGGAAAATAAACAGCTGTTTGTTCTCTCATGAAAAATTTAGGTATATAATTTACTCAATAACCTACTTACCCTTTGGAAGACATTCTGGGGCTGAACCATTGTAAACACCGTCTTTGCAAGTCACGTGACTTGAACCGTTCAAGACGAATCCTCTGTTGCAGACAAACTTATAATCTATCTCAGTGCCAAATTCCGTATCATTTCTGAACACGATGCCATCTGTCAGGTTAGAGTTCAACGGTACACAAGCTGAAAAGGAAAAATGCATGTCAGCAACGGTCCAAGACTCCGAACAGTTTCCTATTTCTCTAAGTTAGAATTGTTAATATATACTTAATGTCAGATCCCGAGAGAAACAGTTAGTCTTGTTTTCCCTAGAGTCTTAATGTTTCCCGAGACGAAATAATGATTACAAATAATGATTACCCTGACTTATATTTTGTTCGAAATAATTGTAGTTCAAAGTATAACACGAATAGATATCAGATTTTTTTCAGATATTTATCTTTTTGTACCATTTTAAGAGGTTACTAAAAATATTACAACACATTACAAAAGTAAGAATAAAATAAAACAACAAATTATATAAATCATCAAAGGTGAAGTGTACGAACCAAAGGAGCTTAGGCTTTCGAGTTGTTCACTGCTACATACAACTCTATGGCGTAGACATTTACAAACAGACACACCACACGAGGCTACGAGTCCTCAGCCTCTACGTTCGCAAGATTTAGGTCTCTTTACGCGGCTTAGAAGGGGAGAAAATGATCAGTAGCGTTTAGTTTATAGGCTCAGTTACTCTGTAATCGGAATGATTATGCTTGACTACAGGTCGAACGCGGTTCTATAATCAAAGGTGATCATATGCAAATACCCTTCAAGTTAGCGGCAAATCTTTGAAAAGCTTCGAAGAGTCTTAATGTTCGGCACATGAAAAGTACGGCGTCTGAACCAGGCCTAAGGCTTTCGAGTTGGTCACTGCTACATGCAACTAAATGGCGTAGACATTTACAAACAGACACACCTCACGCCGCCATCAATATGGGTTATGAGAAAGGCTACGAGCCCTCAGCCTCTACGTTCGCAAGATTTAGATCCCTTTTACTCGGCTTAGAAGGGGAGAAAATTATCAGTAACGTTTAGTTTATGGGCTCAGTTACTCTGTAATCGGAATGATTATGCTTGACTACAGGTCGAACGCGGTTCTATAATCAAAGGTGATCATATGCAAATACCCTTCAAGTTAGCGGCAAATCTTTGAAAAGCTTCGAAGAGTGAAATTTCTTAGGATAGCAATTTCTTACGATTGCGTTGTCATTGAAGGATATCGAAGTAGGACTAAAAAGTTCTAGTTATGGAAAGCTTTCCTTCCATTAAGCTGCAATCGGTAGCTGGTTGAGAATATGCTTGTACATGTTTGAGTCAAAAGACACCGCGTAGTTTTAAGTAGGGAACCAAGCTTTCCGCGGTGTAGGCAAAGTGAAACTAATCTATTTGGTACCAGATTGTAAGTGTGTCATGGTTAAGTTCTAAGAAGAACGTAACACTCTGCTTAGCTATTGCTGCATGACCGGTGTCCGAACCAAATATTGGGTCCTTTATCAGTTGCTTAGGTATAGCCAAATGTCACCAAGAGCTCACCAAGAGAGCTAGTGACGTAAACTAAACTTGACTCTGTTCTTTTCATGTTCTTTAAGCAAGAAGCTGATTGAATGCTTTATCTGACCTTTGCTGTATCAGGACAATTTGATCCTGTTTAAGCGTTAAGGTCATGCGTTAGAGATCCAGAGTGTAAGATTAACCAAAAATTTTGCCCCCCAAAACTAGTTTGTCCTAAATTTAAAGCTTGATTCTTGATCCGAAAATCGCTTTAATTTGATATAACCTTTCATTTCAGACTAAACTGTCATAAGTAAGTTTTCATTACCTTTTACACATACAGGAGAAGTCCCATTCCAGGTTCCGTTTTCTGTACAGGTGACGTAATCATCACCAAAAAGGACGTAGCCGCTGTTGCAGGTAAAGTTATAATTCGAACGATAAACGCGGCCGCTTCCTTGGACGTGACCGTTGGCCAGATAACTTGATAAAGGCGGAGAACACTCTGCATAAAGAAATGTTCATAAGTCTTCATTATTTTAAAAAAAGGTAAACATTAAATTTCAAGATCATCACAGTTCGATACGCAACTTTGACTTGCGATGAAAAAAGCCTGAAAAAAATCCGGCTCTTGCCAGGACTCGCACCCTGACCTCCAGAAGCATGTGTACAGCGCACTAACCGATTGAGCTAACAAGGCAACAGGAAGCTGGTTATTAAATTGTCATAAATAAATTTTTACACTTAAAGAGGGAGCGACGTGCAAGATGGCTCTCCTTTCCCCGTATGGAAATCTGAGGTCCTTCTGTTGGGTAAAAACCAGCTGCCTGATCGAGCAGCTTTTCTATGTGCCATCAAGAAAAGGTGTAAGCTAGGTAATAGCAGCAAAGAGATAGAAATTGCTTGTAAAAATGCTTATAATTGACCTGTGGAATTTTAAATAGTGCGCGCTTGCCCTTCCTCAGATAAAATCGATTCGCTCTTGATCTGTCAAATCGTGAATCTCTCTTCACTGGCAAGTTTGTATATACTTTATCAAATCAATGCCAATAATGCTTTGGATCGAAGCCCACCAACCATGAGCGAGGTTTGTGAACAACCACGGTGGTACAAACACTATCGCCTGATGAAGACCTGCACTGTGCGGTCGAAACGTCGCGATCAATATCAAAGTGACAATCGTGAGACAAACGATAAAAACTTAACCCTTTATTTATCAAATCAGTTGATAGAACACAATTTTTCGTTCTACTTCGCCATCGACGCTGAGTGCCAATTTTTAAAAGGTATGTTTGTTTGCCAAAAGGTTTAAATAGTAAATTGTATTTTTTGTGAAAGACTAAATACGCTGATCAGCAAAAACAAGTATAAATACAAACATTTACACTGAACGAACTTGCAAAAGTGACAACAGCAGCTGAAAGATTTGAAAAGTGTTGCAGTGAAACCCGGTTGATACGGAGACCAAGGGCACATGCCATGCTGCCCGTATTATCCAGGTGTCCGTCTAAAGCAGGCTCTCAGAAAAAAACGTCATGGAGACAATTTATTGATATAAAGATACAAAAGAAACATGACTGAAATAAAAAGCTAAGGAAGTGAAAACTGAGTAATAAAATGGGTGAAACTTTATTAAAGGACTACAGTAAAAGGGTCAAACACCGCAAGAAATACGGACTGATCGAAATGAAAAATGGCGCGCATCTTTGCTACTTTTTTTGTCTGATGATAAAATCGCCTAAACCCCTATAAATCTGTCATTATTTGCAAAGGGTACAATTAATGTCTACAGCTAGCTAATAAATGTGAGTATAAAAATAGACAGTGCGCAGATAACCAGCGTCCGTGAAGCGGGGCTAACGATTTGTGAGAGATGGTGGCTAACTCGGGATACAAGTAAAGTTTCCTTTGCCCTTATAAACTTGTGTCCGGTTAATTTTAGAGCAAATGTATGAGCTTTTCGTCGGGACAAACGAAGCTGTCTGTTATAAATGGGTGTCAGTTTAAGCAGCTGTCCGCAGAGCGGGGTTCCATTTTATTAGGCTTACACCAACTTCTACGAGCAATTTCTGTTGTCTGATGTACAATTATTGGACGCCATACCTTTCCCTGTTTTTCATTGCAGGAAAATAAACAGCTGTTTGTTCTCTCATGAAAAATTTAGGTATATAATTTATTCAATAACTTACTTACNGGGTTCCATTTTATTAGGCTTACACCAACTTCTACGAGCAATTTCTGTTGTCTGATGTACAATTATTGGACGCCATACCTTTCCCTGTTTTTCATTGCAGGAAAATAAACAGCTGTTTGTTCTCTCATGAAAAATTTAGGTATATAATTTATTCAATAACTTACTTACCCTTTAGAAGACATTCTGGGGCTGAACCATTGTAAACACCGTCTTTGCAAGTCACGTGACTTGAACCGTTCAAGACGAATCCTCTGTTGCAGACAAACTTGTAATCTATCTCAGTGCCAAATTCCGTATCATTTCTGAACACGATGCCATCTGTCAGGTTAGAGTTCAACGGTACACAAGCTGAAAATGAAAAATGCATGTCAGCAACGGTCCAAGACTCCGAACAGTTTCCTATTTTCTCTAAGTTAGAATTGTTAATATATACTTAATGTCAGATCCCGAGAGAAACAGCTAGTTTTGTTTTCCCTAGAGTCTTAATGTTTCCCGAGACGAAATAATGATTACAAATAATGATTACCCTGACTTATACTTTGTTCGAAATAATTGTAGTTCAAAGTATAACACGAATAGATATCAGATTTTTTTCAGATATTTATCTTTTTGTACCATTTTAAGAGGTTACTAAAAATATTACAACACATCACAAAAGTAAGAATAAATAAAACAACAAATTATATAAATCATCAAAGGTGAAGTGTACGAACCAAAGGAGCTTAGGCTTTCGAGTTGTTCACTGCTACATACAACTCTATGGCGTAGACATTTACAAACAGACACACCTCACGAGGCTACGAGTCCTCAGCCTCTACGTTCGCAAGATTTAGGTCTCTTTACGCGGCTTAGAAGGGGAGAAAATGATCAGTAGCGTTTAGTTTATAGGCTCAATTACTCTGTAATCGGAATGATATGCTTGACTATAGGTCGAGCGCGGTTCTGTAATCAAATAAGGTGATTATATGCAAATTCCCTTCAAGTTGGCCGCAAATCTTTGAAAAGCTTCGAAGAGTGAAATTTCTTAGGATAGAAATTTCTTACGATTGCGTTGTCATTGAAGGGTATCGAATAGGACTAAAGAGTTGTGGCTATGGAAAGCTTTCCTTCCATTAAGCTGCAATCATTAGCTGATTGGGAATATGCTTATACATGTTTGAGTCAAAAGACCGCATAGTTTTAGGTACGGAACCAAGCTTTCCGCGGTGTAGGCAAAATGACACTGATCTACTTGGTACCAGATTGTAAGTATTTCATGGATAAGTTCTAAGAAGAACGTAACACTCTGCTTTAAGCTATTACTGCAAGACCGGTTTCGGAACCAAATATTGGATCCTTCGTCAGTTGGTTAGGTATATAGCTGTTAACAAGAACTCAGCAAGACAGCTAGTGTCGTAAACTAAGCTTGAGTCTGCTCTTCATGTAGCAAACAGAATCCAACTAGTGATTGGTTCTTTAAGCAACAAACTGATTGGATGATTTATCTGACCTTTGTTGTATGAGGACTACTTGATCCTGCCCAAGCGTTAAAGTCATGCGTTAGAGATCCAATGTGTAAGATTAGCCAAAAATTTTGCCCCCTAAAACTAGTTTGTTCTAGTTTTAACGCTTGATTCTTGATCCGAAAATCGCTTTTATTTGATATAATCTCTCCTTTCAGACTAAACTGTCATAAGTAAGTTTTCATTACCTTTTACACATACAGGAGATGTGCCATTCCAGGTTCCGTTTTCTGTACAGGTGATGTAATCATCACCAAAAAGGACGTAGCCGCTATTGCAGGTAAAGTTATAATTCGAACGATAAACGCGGCCGCTTCCTTGGACGTGACCATTGGCTAGATAACTTGATAAAGGCGGAGAACACTCTGAATAAGGAAATGTTCATAAGTCTTCAGTTATTAAAAAAAAAAAAAATTAATAAAGAAATTTCAAGATCATCGCAGTTAGATACGCAAACTTTGAGTTGTGATAAGAAAGCCTGAAAAAAATCAGGCGCTTGCCGGGACTTGCACCCTGCTACTGAAACCTGAGTAACCAAAGGGTGAAAACGTACCTGTTGTACGTTGTTTTTATTTTCCTCCATGTAAATGTAAGTATTGTCATTAGAAATGTTGTAACCAATAAATGTTATTAAAAAAAAAGAAAAAAAGGGTGAAAACTTTGTCATTAGAAATGTTGTAACCAATAAATGTTATTAAAAAAAAAAAAAAAAGGGTGAAAACTTTATTAAAGGACTACAGTAAAAGGGTCAAACACTGCAAGATCGAAAGACGACGGACTGATCGAAATCAAACATGTCACATATCTTTGTTACTGGTTTTTTCTGATGATAAAATCGCCTAAACCCCTATAAATCTGTCATTATTTGTACAGAGTGCAACGTCTACAACTAGCACATAAAATTAATGGTTATAGACAGTGCGCCTATAACCAACGTCCGTGAAGTAGGGTTAACAATATATGAGAGATGGTGGCGAACTCGGGACACAAAAGTGTCCGTCGTCCTTATCATCTTGTGTCCGTTTTAGAGAAAATTTTTGAAATTTTCGTCGGGACAAACGAAAGTGTCTGTTATACATGGGTGTCAGTTTAAGCGGTTGTCCGCAGAGCCGAGCAGAGCTATCAGTTCTCTCATGAAAAATTTAGGTAAACAATTTATTCAATAACTTACTCACCTTTTGGAAGACATTCCGGGGCTGAACCATTGTAAACACCGTCTTTGCAAATCACGTGACTTGAACCGTTCAAGACAAATCCTCTACTGCAGACAAACATGTAATCTATGCCATATTCGGTATCATTTCTGAACACGATGCCATCTGTTAGCTCAGAGTTCAATGGTACACAAGCTGAAAAGGAATAATGTATATCAGCTACCGTCCAAGACTCCGAAAAGTTTCATATTTTCTTTAAGCTTGAGTTGTTTAACACCTGTTTTGAGCGACATGCCACGAAATTACGATGACGTCTGTGCAGTGAGAAAAAAACCCCTGACGCTCTAATTATTTCTTCAAAAGAGAAGGTTTTTGAACCTATTGCAAGACGTTTCTTAACGTATATGACTTTAACGTAACCTGCAAATAATGATTACTCTTACTTATATTTTATTCGAAACAATTGTCTCAAAGTACCACGAATAGATTTCAGATTTTTCAGATTTTTTGTCTTTTTGCACTATTTTAAGAGATTACTACAAAAATTATAATACATTAGAAAATAAAGAAAAAAAATTAAACAACACATTACGATAACATCAAACGTGAAGTGTACGCACAGTGACAAAAGGAGCTTAGGCTTTCGAGTCGGTCGCTGCTAAGTGCAACTAATGGGACCTGCGGCCGCAACTTCGGACCCGTGACCGCGGCTTTCGCGCCCTGACTTGCGACCATTAGTCAAACTCAACTAACTGGCGTAGCCATTTACAAAGAGACCGTACATCACACCGCCATCAATATGCAAAAAGAATTAATAACCACGTCACTTGTACTGACTTGCACATCACTTTATCTGTAACGAACACCAGCTTGGTTTGAAAAACAGGGTTGGAAACGACGGGTAACATCTCAGTACTGACTCTCGACGGTAGCATGTTTATCTCTCGAACGATTTCATTGAGTTATTAAAAAAAAAAATCTTTCTTATGTTTCTTATGAGGGCTAGGGTAGTGCGTTGAGTTGTCCCGATACATTTTTGTCGTCAAATCGTCAAGGACTTTCTCTCCGTCAGTGAAGGCGAAAGTATTTAGTGAACTATTGGCTCTTTATCAGTGACAAGTTATCAGCTTTCGTCCAAGACACCTTCACCTGTAAACAGCTCCCTTCAATTTCTGTGCAGTTCTAACAATCATCAAGATGTTAAATCATACCTGGTTTAACGGTATCATTAATGACAGCGACAAACTCTTCCACAGTTTCTTTACTTGCTTTCCCAATGGTCACTTTCTTGGTCGTGTAAATATCAAACATACACTGCAAATTGTCTCCACAAACGTCCTTGGCATCTCTTTCCAGAGATTTATTCGAAAACACCAGTTTTTGACTGTCTGCAAATATCGGCTGATAGTTTGGATGGTGGTAAGTTGCATGGCTTTTGCCTTGTTCATACGTAAACAGGGACTCAGCTGCTGTCGTCACCCCTATAAACAAGTAGACGGGAAAAGAGGTAAATAAAAAGACCACAAACTGGCGACCCGTTAATTATTTAACTATTGATCTAAAAGGCCTTGCGTAATAAAAGTTTGGACTTACAAACGGAAAGAGGAGGTTGCTGCCTCTCTCTTCACCCATCAAAGACTTTTCCCGCCCTTTTTCTTAAAATGGCAGAACCTTTCTAATTCATCGGCACCTCATTTTATTGCTAAATATTGGGCAAAGGTAATAACAGGTTACGTTTTTTACCAAAAAAAATATTATGCAGTTAAATTTCTAATTCTAACACACCTTATCTGAAGATATTCTAAACAAGATCCAAAAGCAAAACTTGGTTTGGTCGCTCACTTACAGTACAGACCACCAACTCGGATCAGTGAGTTTCTCACTTCATTGGTGATATTACAGTGAATAATAAGTGCATTAAGGATATGCAGAAATTATGGGCACAAATGTCCTTAAATTGAATTCGTTGTTTTGAAGAATCAAGAGGAAATAATAATTACAAAGCTGTCCAAAGTTCCTGTGAATTTCTTTGAAGCTGGAATTCGTACGCAGAAACGTGCCATCGGGCTTAAGATATTCTAATTCTTGGCTGTCGTCCCAGTAACCAAGAAGTCCGCTTGTGTTCCCTGAAAGAAAAAAAAGTGTATCCCATTTTTTTACAATATATTTTAGATCAAGTCGTTTTCATGCGAATATTTGTGTAAAAGCTAAATTGTTCCTATGATTACTCTTACCTTTTTGGTCAGAGTATACCCTTTTCAGCATTAGCATTCCGGTGAACTCACAATTGTAATACCTACCCGCGACTAAGAACCTGCATTTTCCCTAGTTAGCCTTCTTATAAGGTAAACAGGCTTAATATTTCGGACCCTTGGAATCACATTTAACAGTACTCAAGATCTCTTTAAAGATATTTCTGAAATCCACTCAGAACATATCGTGAAAATGTACCCTCTTCTCGCAGGGTAAGTGGTCAGCGTGTCGGAATCTTATTAGTTATGCCTATGCTTGCTTGTTTTAGGACGTTTTGGCCTTTTTTCTATTGCTTTCTACCACAGTTTATATTTATCACTTATTTGAATGTTTCAGTCAATTCTGGTATCTTGTGTTTAATGCTGATATATCCGCTTAAATAACGTTTTCTTTATGTATAACAAAACCTAGATTTTCACAAAGGGAATAGATACTTAGAGAATAAGAGGCTTTTCAGCCTTAATAACATTCAGCACCTTACCTTTAAACATGGTTGGTACTAACGTCACAAGACCAAGCAGTTCTGTTTGACCTTCTACAGTTACCGAGATCCCAGAATGAAAGATGGCCGAGTACTTGGATGTGTTGACGTACTGCAACACTGACACACCGTTGAATTCCCAGAGGGATAACTCGTCAAAATCAACAATTTCTCCATTCACCAAAACATCGACCAATCCTCGGCCATTTAAGTGAATCTACATGCAAGGGATGGATAAATAGACTTGGATATGACATCAAAGCGCAGGCTACTGGATACTAGCTTCCCATTAAATGAAAACTAGCTAGGAGTAGCCTGAAGTTCTATTTTTTGGTAAGCAAGAACGTGCGGCTACTTTTAACTCGAATCATGCATTTTAGTAAAATCCAACTAGTGGTCTATTATCAATGCTGCGTTGTGATTGGTTGAGCTACTACTAGGCTATATGTTATAGCCCACTAGTAGCGAAAAGCGCCGGCTTTTTGGCGGCAATAAACGATTAAAATCTAGCTTTAGTCAGCTAAAGTTGTTTTGTCTCGATATTTTTGACCAACTAGTTGGATTTTACTAAAACAATTATTCCTCTCGTCCTCATGGCCTCTGAGCCAAAAGCCTATTCGGCCTTCGGCCTCATGGGCTATTGACTCAGAGCCCATTCGGGCTCGAGGAATAATTTTTAAAGATATAGAACAAATTTTCATTGATTCAGTGTGTCCTTATTGGAATTCAGTCATTGTTAAGAAAACTGCTATTGGTCAGGTCGGAACATTTTTTCTCGGATAAAATGATTTATAAGTACCGTGGAACCTCTATTCAGGGGACACTCTAGGGACCGAGTCAAGTGTCCCTTGAATAAAGGTGTCCCCTGAAGAGAGGTTGGGCTGAGGTAGTCAAGAATTAACCAAGAAATACAACATAAAAATCATTATTAATTTATCTCTACAAAATTATATGGTTGATTCACAAAAGTGCATTACGTCGAGAATTAGTCAGTTTTCTTTGTGAAAGTTTCCATAATTGTGATAAGTGCGTAATTAGAAATATTAACCCTCTTTGTGGTCAGTCCGGCACTTTCTGAGTGCTTAGGTGTCCCCTGAATGGAGGTTAACCCCGGGTTTCGGGAAAAAGTGTGCCTTTCCTCAGAATATAGGTGTCCCTTCACTAGAGGTAATAGATACAAAGATTAGTGAACATTTTTCGGTGAAAAAATTTTGTGCCCCCTGAATGGAGGTGACCCTTGAATAGAAGTGTTCCAAGGGAGAGGTTCTACTGTAGCTGAAATAAATAGGCCATTTGCATGATGGCGTCATTTTACTACTATGACCAGAATCCTTCAGGGTTTTGCTTTTTTGTGCAAATTAGGGCTTTCGTTATTTAAACCTCACTGGGATTACCAAATTTGAATATGAAAAGAAAACCCAAAAGAATTCTGGTCGTAGTAGTAAAATGACGCCATCGTGCAAATAGCGTATTATTGAAATAGAATCATTATGGTAAATAATAATGAGTGTAGTCCTGAATAGGACAGTCGGTGACACAGAGTGCATGACAACCTTTATTCGTGCGTGTGGTAGTCATCTTTAGAGCCAAAGTGAGTTGTGTTACGAGTATGGTAAGAAAAACTCTGGTAAATTATTGGTCCGGTTGGTCAAGTAAGTCGCGATGTTATTGTTCGCCTGTCAATTGAGCCGTGGTGTTATTGGCTATGAGGTCTCCAAACGCAATGGTTTCTTTTCGATCCGTCTTTGTCACAATTATAACGGTGGTTTTTTTTTGGTCGAATCGTCGGTTGCATTTTGTCCAGTCATTCTATCGTTGTCAGTTTTTGCGGAAAACTAAATTTGATTACTCCTGGTACAAAATTACAAGTCTGTACTCTACTGTACAGTTAACTGATAGAACAGAATTTTAAAACCGATTGACGGATGGTCACCATTTTGTCTTCGCAAACAGGCGGAAAAAGATGAAATTACATGTTAAAGGAAAACGCCTTCTAGATTTACTCCAGTATCCTTGAAGTGTCGTGATTCATGGATTATTTAATCTCTAACCTGTACTGTATCTGATCCAGATTCCTTGGCTGCAAACGCCGTATAAACAGTAGCATCTGTTTGAGACCCATCGTCATTAACCAGAGGCTCCATCCGTCCCTGTAGTGTAAAGTTTACACCTCTAACCTTTAAAATGGAGTATTCGCCGTGGCCATTAAAAGTGAAGGGAGTTCCATCTAGCGTGACCATGTGGGGGTCACCAAATCCAGTAGCTAGCAGTGATTAAAAACAGAATTTATGATGCAGTTACTGAATATGTCATTTTCACAGTGATCTTGTCAACTAAGATTAAAAGGTACATTCTTGTTTTTATTTTTTTTGGGGGGAAGGGGGGATGATGTTGATTTGGCAAGGAAATAAATTAGTGTAGAAAAGGTATACACATAAACCAGTTAGTCCGACTAATGAGATCAGAGGCACCTTGTTGTGGTGGTGGACTATCTGGTCATTGGCTACTAATTATCCACTTCATATTTTTGTTTTATCTTCAATCAAAACACCCCCCGATCCAATATTTTATAATTTTCCATAAATTTAAACATCGCCCGTTAATTTGTATACATTAAAAACATTTGAAAAATAATCCAGAAATTCTCATCCAAATTATTAGTTCCCTGACCGTGCACAATCCTTTGCTTCATGTTCACAAATTGTGACTGAGTAAATTAATGCGATGTTTCTATTGGTCGGTAAGTTCAAAATATAATGATAGGAATGCTATTGAACGTTGTGTACGGTCAGGTCCAAAAATTGGTAACAAAAACAATAAATAACAGAGAAGTCTAACGGGTTTCATAACCATTCCACTTTAATAACTATGGTTAAACCAAAGCCTCCAAACTAATTGAGTCATTTTTGATTGAATGAAATCTTGGCTGTATATTTAAGAAAAAAGGCAGAAATCAACGCAAAACAATGATTTCATGGTATTAAGAAATTATCACTTTTTGCCTAATGATCAGAGTGATCTCTGAATGCCAAGTCATAAATCTAACAGTGAGCGAGAGTGGTTTGGTCTTTTTTTATTGCTAGTTCGAACAGTATTTCTGTGTTCTTTTTATCTGTATCACATAAAAATTCCAAACTGACCCCTATATATCCGTAGACAAAATTATCATCAATTTAAAGATAGAAAAGCGTCTGTTTGATCTTAATTGTCATCAATTTGTTTGTGCGTGCTATTGTTGCCGTTAATGCATATATTCTTCGTTTTCCTGGGCAGTTATTTTTATGCATGCTTCGAGTAGTGATTGGATTGTCTTTATTTGGACAAATGCATTTTCATCACAATAAAACAATTGCGTGATGACATCATTTTACTATAACTACCTGAATCCTTCAGTTTGTTGTTTTCTTGTGCAAATAAGGGTTATCGTTTTTTAAACCTAAGCGGGATTGACAAAATTAATTAAGAAACCAAAAACGAAATGAATTCTGGAAGTTTGTGAAAGTAGCCTATTCGGGTGATTTATTGAGCGTCTGCCATGTTGGTCCCTAAACAATAAAACGGCGACCATGTTGGTGTTCCGAAACAATCATATGGTATTTTAACCTTTTTCTAACATTACTCTTCTCTTGATTTGTGGATTGGTCCGAATAAATAAAGTAACTGTTTTGAGCTAGTTTACATACCAGGCCTTGGAGCTTGGTACTGTGATCCGTCATCTGATGGACGCTTCTCAAAATATTTGTCGCAACTATCAGACAACCGACAACAGTGCTGGTATGGCACTAAGTCGTGGAAGAAGTGCGATAGCACAGGAAGACCAGCATTCGGATGAACTCGATCAAGAGAACCTGCGTTGGGTTTGCCCATCATTAAGTTGCCAAAGTTGTTATAGCAACACTGCTGACCAGCCCCTTTGGAGCTATGGAGAAAAGTGGTAAAGACAGAATTTACCGACAGAATTTTACTACAAGTGATAATCAGTCTTTTCTTAATTTCTTTTTCCTAATTTTTTCGGCTATTTTTTTTAAAAATAATTTACAAAAAAAAAAAGCCAAAAAAGGGACTGTTAGAGGGTTAGCCAAAACTGTGCCAGAGGTTATAATTTTAACCTTTGCCTAAGTTTACGCTTATCGGAGCAACTGGGCTAACAAACTTTATCTATTCTGCCATTATTTTATCTTGATTTGAAAAGGCATGCGAAGTAACTTTATTGAACAATGCATTACAAAGTGACCTTTTCTCCTCTTTTTACTTGCTGAGGCCGGTGACAACTGTAGTAATACCCTGCGATAAGAAGTTTCTTTGTGGCATGGCTTTTAGCATTTACCGAGTCGTTCACGTTGCTCTCAGTCGCGAAATTAATTGGACAATGACTATGTGTTAGTGCTAAAAGCCATCCCGGAAAGAAACCTTTACTCGCAGAGCTGTAGTAACAGGTGCTAAAGCAAACTTTCAAAATAGTGAGTGTAATAACAAGTTCGTTATTGATTTCTAGAAAGGAGGTCTCTCTAAGTAAGGTTACCTGGGTCTAATCATTTTGAAGCACTGAACGGCGCCATCGTGGAATCGAGAACAGCCCTCTCGATTGGACGGATTACACTCTTCATCAGACATAAAACGCCCGCGATCAGCCATGGCCTGGGTTAAGCTTCTTGGGCAGGGTTCCATGCTGGGATCAGCTATAAAGGCAAAACAAATGACTTAATGACTTTTTAATATACAGTCTAGGCCCCCGGAAGGTTCCACCCAAGAGGCCAGGTACTATTCGCTTACGAGAGGAGGTCGCCTGGTACAGTCGAAACCTTGAAACAGAGGGGGTTCTTCAGGGGATAGATCGGTCACAGCTCTGTCTCTAACACCTGATCTACGCATTCAAAGACTCAGAATTTAAATTTTACACAATAAAATACTAGCACCACCTCATGGCGTACGGTACATGCAGTGAACATAGCTGGGATTATTTACTGAAAATAGTTCGGTATTTTGGACAAGTAGTCGCTTATGGCAGGTGGTCGCATATGGATCGCAGTTACCGACAGGAAGAACATATTACTAAGGAAAACAACGTAAAACAAATTTTACCGACAATAATGTACATACTAGGCGAACACGGTCGTTAATAAAACAAAATAAAATAAAAATAGATAAAAATAGAAAACACGCAGGACATAAATTCATACCGATCCAGAACATCACATAAACAAAAATTAATTAGCCGCACACTTGCATCTAGCTAAAACTACCTCTGAATTCTTCTGGATTGGGTTCTTGCTCATACCAAACTTTGCACCTCCTGATGGCCCATGGGGCATTTTTCCAGGAAAACAAATCACTCCACAGCCACTGGGCCCGAGAAACACTGCTTCCACCCTGTTTCCTTGATACCCGAACAAGGTTTACATAACGATCGTCGATGTTGCTGAAACATGAAAAGGAATCTGAAATCTGGAACCCGTAGACTCTTGACTGTATGTTGGCACAACCTAAACTACTTTAAACCAATACGCTGAATTTCTGGCTTTAAAAAGACAATATGATATATTTGTCATGGGCCAAAGTGTAAAACGAAGACGCCTGATCTTGACGAGTCTCAGTGTACTCATGCAGTAATGATATCTTTTTTTAGAAATCTTAGACAGTTATTTCCTAAAGCCGTCGGACATTACAGGGGAAAATGTATACTATCCTAGACAAAACCACTGAAGAAAAATAAACATCCACAGTGAAGAGGATTCGAACCCTTGCTCTTGCTATTACTCTCTTGCAAATTTCGGCCGGGCGTTATACCCATTTTCGATATGCATTCCTAGTAAAAAGAATTATTGCTTGGGATGCGCCTCTTGTCATAATAAAACTGATGATTCTAGGGCACGTTAGCGAATAAAACTGTTGTAATTGGGGCCTCGAAAGGAATTGTAAGAGCATCCGCGCACAAATTGCAGCTCTTCATCCATAGGTGCACATGTATCTGGATTTAAAGAAGTAGCCACGAAGAGCATTTTAGCGAAAAAAGAACTGTGTCAAACGGTAACAGAAGGTGGAAAAAAATATCTTAAGGTTATATTCAAGGCACTGTCGTGAGTTTTGGCATGTAAGTGATATTTGTTATTCCCCTTCGTATAGATTCAAGAGATAAAAGAAGAAAACTATCCACCGGATTTTTGTCAGACAATGTTCGTTTTTTCTGGAAATAGTTAACTGGATTCCTATGCTATAAAAGAAACTTTTTGCCAATTCATGGCAGATAATTAGCTATGTCTTGTAACAGAATAAATTACAGGTTAACAAACAAGTTTGGAGATATTGTCAGAAAATAGAGCTTATACGCCCTTATTTCAGAGGGATGTGTGATTGCCTGGTAACTACTGTTTTGAGGTTAAACGCATCAGCTAAACAATAGATTGTACATTTAACTTTTTTCTCATTTTTCAGACATCTTATTAAAAGTAAAAAACACGTTTGTGCAAATGTCAGACTGCTAGGAAAAGGCCTACTTCGGAAAGAAAGAAAGAAAAAAGACAGTTGCGTAAAAAGCTTCCAAAGACGAATCGATGGTATTTCGTTTTATAATTTCAAAGAGACCACGATGGAAATTCCGGTTTTAATGAGTTTCCAGAACTTTCAAGAAGTCATAGAGGCCTGAAACACCACACTGTGAACTTTTTAAATTATTTTTTTAGCACTTTAGGTAGATGAGATCGGTTCGATTGTCTCTGATCATTAGGAACATGAATAGGTCTGGATTGATGGACCCAAGTTAGCAAGTATGCAGAAATATTTGTAGACAAGTACACGTATCTTTGCAAGTCAAGCAATTGGATAAGAACAAAATTAATATAATGGGTGACCATTTAACTTTATAACTTACCCGTCTCCCTGTCCTTTTGTGACGACAAACTGACCTTGGCCAGTATTCAACTGGGAGTTCACAACTGTGTGGAAACTTTCCAGTTCTGGAACTTCATCGTTGCCCATTTTATAACGCGCCAGATCGATCGTTACTTGTTCGCTAGTGCTTCCGATGCTTTCGGCATCCCAATTGATATCAACTGGCGATCCCTCTTCCCATTCTTCTCCGTACTGTCGTTGTACGCCCGGAGTGTATCGATCCATGGGGACTAAATCAAGGGAAAGATAGCATGGCGGAAGATCGTAGTGTAACTGCTATCATAAAATACTGATTAACGGGAAAACCCCAATCATAATAGTAATAATAATAACAATAAAACACAAATGCCTGATTATTGATGTTGCTTGTCCGTTTTGACATTCAAATGAAAGACAAAGAGAAAGAGAAAATTGAGAACTACCAGGACCTGAAGCGGGAGTTAAAAAGGATCTGGAAATTGCGCAAAGTAACTGTGGTGCCAATCATAATTGGTGCATCAGGAACTGTCTCGAACGATATAGAAAAGTGGTTAACAGAGATTGGTGTCACATGTCGTTTGGAATCATTTGAATCACCCTGAAAAGTTACTCCCAAAAGGGGGAGATCTTTACATTGGGCGTACCACAAATGGGTGCATACTCCTCATAGTTGTTTTTCCTTCTAATCAATCACAGGTACGCCTGTGTCATTTGCTCGCTGGAATTTTTATTGTTCTTGAGATTAGAAATAAGAAACAAACTGATTTGACGGGCCAATGCAATCCAGCCGGATCATGTAATCCGTTCCTTAGTCTACTATTGGTGACAAAATGGTATGAACAATGATTGGTGAATAATTAAGAAACAATCAGTGGATTGCTTATGTAGTACTACGGATACTCAACTTTTTCTGGAGATATCCTGCGCAAATGTCGTCATTTCACCGAATACGGCAAACGTCTTCCAAATTTGGTCAATATTAGCTTCTTAAGCAGAATTAGTAAGTGGATTATTTGAGCAATCACAAACGTAGGATTATTTGAATGAATGGAGGAATAATAATAATAATAATTATAATAATTGATATTACTTTGCTTAAAATATAAGATGTGAGAGGAAAATACCTGATGTGTAAACTCCATTGTGTTGAAAAGAATTTCCACCATCGACTGACAATTTAATCGGTACTCTTCCTGTTCTATTAAGAACAGGCGCGGTAACGGAAGACTGAATTTCCGTTCCGAACGTGGCGTTGATGTTAATACTGTTGTCGAACTGCACAACTATGTCATCTTTCTGCTTGAAACAAGGTCCACTCATTTTCAAGTTCGTACCCCCCAGCATTATCCCAGATCGAGGGGAGATAGTTAGAGAACCTAATGATTAATTAATAAATTGTTATTAGTGATAAAAATAATGATAGAGATTCTCAGTGTAGAGGACACAGCCGGCACTCGAGGTGGCTTGAGGTTTGTAGCCTGCGCCACAAGAAACTAAACCCTGGTTAACAGAAGCTTTATTTTTCGTCGAGAGCGTGTATGAGAAAAAAAACCCGCGGGGAATTTATTGATCGCTTGCGCTTGAGGGTGGGCTCCGGGTTCGCTCTAGCGAATTAGCTCCGCTCGTCCGCTCCTCGATTTTCGAAAGGAAAGAGGAAACAACGTCTGAGTGTGTACAGGCCAAGTCTAAACAACGCCGAAAATCTAGTTTTGGGACCCCACCTGTGTACCCGGATTTGAGCACGCGCCTTGATCGATTGGCCTCAGGTTAAAAGAGCCATTGTCCATTTGTTAATCACGTTGAAGGGAAATTCAGAATTCGTTAGTCCGTCGTGGGGCCCAGAATAAGGCTCTCAGAGCGGCTTCGCAGACGTTTCTAATCAGGGCTAAATTACGTTTGCGACGCAGGCTAGGGGTTTGGGTTTGGCTAGGGGTTTGATAGCAACATATGCACTAGTGATTTAATAAACACAATGTCCATCTGTTCACTTCTATTTTTACCTTATTACCCTGTTCTTGAAGAACATCAGGAGTAGGAGAAATTTCAGTAGATAGGCTTTGAGGGTATATATCAAAAACGTGAAGGAAAGTCAATAGAATTTGTTAAAATAGAAGTATACCTTTAGTATTACATCCTCCAGCTTCAACACTGGCCTCATCAGTTCGGAACATCCACTGTCCTGGAACAGCTACATTAGAAGTGGATGGAAGATTGACAACGTCTCCTGTTCTTGAACCATTAATTTGGAAGAATCTGATCCCATCTCCAGCGTTGAAACCGGCCTATAACGTTAACATTCAAAGCCTTATCCGCATCGGAATCTCTAAGAGGGAATCAAACTGACTACATATGTCCCGGCACACGCACAGGATGGATTAACGTAGGTTGGTTTTATAAGCATGTAGGGAGAGTCTGTGCAGCAAGACTAGTAAATCTTTCACGCCAATAGCACCATCGATGAAGTTCGTGTATAGAGGCAGTGTAGGGAAACTATTACAGAATTAATTTGGGGGAGCGCAGTACATTTGAGTAGCTGGTGATTTCGTGAGGATAGCTCGTGGGAGAACGAGCCACAAAGCTGCGCTTGGGAAAGACGAAAAAGGCCAGCGCTTGTTAGCGCGCACTAACCAACAAAACCGCCAGCTACACAGGCTGTAATTTAGAAAGTTATCGATCGTAAATTAAAATGAATATAGCATAATTGACAACACATTGAAAGTAGCCCCTTATCAGATCAGACTTACAATCTCGATCTAACCGGTCTGCGGTTATGTCTGTTCCTTTAGCGTTCATACGACCTTTCGAGCAGCTAATAGAATCCTCAAAAGCATTATATCTGGACAATTTGAACATTTTAAACTGAATTCACAGATTTTCGGCGGAGGATATAGCAGCTTTCCCCGCTCGTACTCTGCCCCCCCCCTCGGAACTCTGGCCCGTTTCCATCATTTGTCACGCACTCTTCTCGCTCATTTTCGGCTGCCTGGCCATGTTCGTCCGTGCTTCCTGCTCGGCAACCTTGGATAAGCCCACGGAGAAGGCAGATATTTTACACGGGCTAGAAATTTTGTCATGTCTGCCTGGTGTGCTGTTCTTAATTTGGCGACTGCTTATTTTGCATTTTGCTGAAGTTACTTTGGTCAAATTGAAAATTTGCTCGGGGTGAAAGTCTTTTCTAACTGATAATGTATTTGGCGTGTCCTTGTAATTTAGGATACTGACATTTAAAAATCAGTCTGAGGTGAACTAGCTAGTTTGTATTCTAGGCCTTGTTAATTTGTTCACCTGAGCAGGCGTGCCGCCCAAACCTTGGCTATTTCCTCCACTGGCTGTTCCTGTTGTCCACATAATCCGATTGTAATTGAATATTACAAAGGAATGGCGTCCATTGGTGACCAATACAGCTTGAAAGGTGTTCGCCTAAAGCGTAAAACAAAATATTGCATTTTTAGTGTACTGATCGTACCATCCGCACTGATCAAGAAACGGTCTTTCTTGCCTTTTTGATGCTTAGTAGTTTTGAAAGCTCCTACGATAAACAGTGAAATCTATAAATTTGTTGAATCGAGGAAAATTAAAGCCCGACCATTCCTCCCTGATAAGACCTGAAGCAGAGCACGCTCCATTTACTCCCTAATCCATACCTTGTTCTGCATAAGCCCGCTTGCTCCGTAAAATGCGACTTTGTCCCAGGTAGCTATAAAAATCCACGTTGCCGTGAATTTTTGATGACGTACGAAAGCGCGTCGAATGTCTTTAGTTGCTCTCTGTAACAAAGCAGTATCTGTACTTTCTCTGTAAGACACAACACCTCCATTTCTTGTGTCCACATCGCCCCAGAAAGGGGAGATGAGGCGCCGTTGATCACCAAGTGGGAAGGGATCAGGAGTGAATTGACTTACTGCCACTAGGAATGACACGACTCCATTTGTGTTTACCTTAATAAACAACAAAGATCAAGACAGATGAAGTTCAGTCACAAAGCAAGAGTCAATACAAAAGTGTCGATAGATGGAGGAAATAAACAGTAAAACAGTGAATGTGAACAACAACAATGTGTGCCACCGAGAATCTGTCTTTCCCAACAAAAAGGATCTTCATGGGAGAAAAAAAAATCAAGTATTCTTTGAAATTTATTAGCTAGCTAATTGCTATCGTAGCTTCCTGAGGTTCCTAATATATAGGAAAATTGTTTTAGGCCTTTCGGTTTTTCGGTCATAATCATTCGAAGTTGCTAGCTTACATGCAAAAACAGAGACGGAGACGCGTGAATGTTTATATAAAAATGAACTGGAGTGAAAAGCGTGAGTGAGATGACTTGAACAGTCAAATTTCTTCTTAGATACGGATAAATAAATATACTTAGAAATAATCCGGGTATATTGATTCATAGCTAAAAGTGTCGTAAAATTCCACGATGTGGGGCAAATGACCTTTCAGGAAGAAACTCACGTTCCCTAAAAATTGTCTTAGCATGACCGGTCAACTTCAAATATAAGTAATCTTTTAATTCCTTTGAAACCCAACCCATTGTTCCAGTTCCGGGTTCGTTTGACCACGATCGATGCTAGTTTTATCCATATTACAAAATCGTGCATTCAAAGACACGATAAATTTTTGATGTCCATCCTGTCAAAATAATTGAGTTTTAAAGGCTTTGGTTGGACAGTTAGCGCAAAATGTCGTTGTCTAAGAATTCAGGATGCAACCAGAAAATATTAGAGCCATAGCCACAACCATTCAGACCCTACACGAAGCAAGATCGGCCGTCGCCAAGAAGGCTAGCACTACGGCATTTATCTAGGACGGGTCTGGAAGCCCCTCCAACTTCCTCGTTCCCCCTTATTATTTTTGTATTTTAGCTCAAAATGGTGACAAGCGGGCAAGCGCCACATCTAGTCAAACATCTTGGTTGCTACAGCTTTTGGTTATTTTTTGTCTCTTCCTATAATTAGAGAAAACGAAAAACAAAAACAAAAAACAAAAAAACAGGAAAAGGGAAAAGGAAATCTAGAAGTCACATATCACTTAATTAACAAGAACGCGCTTACAACGGCATTCAGTCTACCCTGGCTCCAGAGGTCCGAACCATCAGTATCGACAAGAAAAAAATTTCCTCTGCAACCCAGGGTACATTCAGTCTCGCCTGCTTGGAGATTAAATCGAGAAATGAGCAGGCCATTGATTCTAAAAGAAACATGATTTACTCGCTAAGGGTTTTTTACTTCCTACTTTATCGACGTCGATACTTTTTATTTGTTTCTGAATTGATTTAGTACGCGTGTTAGCGACGACAAGAAATACCTCTCCGGTCGCAGGCTGACGCGTGAATCGAATACACTAAAATTCAAGGGCCTCGATTCCAGAGAAATTACATCACTACCAGAGACCATAAAAGTGATTTACATTGCACATCATTTCAATCATCGCCGTAATAAATCGCATCCTCATCATAAGACATTTGCATACAATGAAAGTTTACAACACCCGACCATCGCAATTTTGCTAATTAAGATTCTTTTTTTTCCCGACCACTCAGTAGTGTTCACTTGTTCCAAAGTAATCAACGCTTTCAAGTGATAGAATTCGTGGACCGACACATTTCGGAAAAGCTCTAAATTTAATCTTTCCTAAGCTTTCGTCCGAAACATGCGTGGCTTTGATCACGCAACCATTCTTATCCCGGTCTCTAACGTCTCCTCGAGGAACGCCTGGCACAATGACCCCCGATTTGCCTGCGTCGCAGACACTCTAAACCTTCTGTATAGACGAGTGCGAAGCCAGCTGCAACTCATGCAGGCTACACCCGATTTGTGTCCTAAATACGACGAAAAAGCCCGACGGGGAAGGGGAATACTTGCGGAAAATTTGGGTGTGGATGTGCGGCAGGCTTCCTGAAACCCTTACCTTAGTTCAGACCAAAATCTGTGATTTTCCGTATCAAAAATTTGATACCTTTTTCACTCCTGAAGCCCTCGAGCCCGGCGCATGACCGGAGCGCGTGACAAGTTGTTACGGCACGTACACGGTAGTTGGTGTAAACATTAAAAGGGAAATGGTCTTATCGCCAAATGGTGAGGAAGTAGCGAATTCTTCTAAAAAAACATACCCAATTCAAGACTAGAGTGCACAAACGATACCATATTTCAGACCAAAACGGTTAAAAAACCATACCCTTTGGCACGGAACATACCTATATAGCCCATAAACGGGACTACCCCCACGGGGCGAAAAACGCTTACGCAAGCGAGACTAACAAGGAAGGCGTTATGGCTATGAGCTCCCCTTGTAATATTACTATCTCTTAACATCTCTCTTCATTTTCTTGTAAGCCCGATAGGTGCCGGACGGGTGTACTTACGTAAAGGGAACCATGGTTGCGGTCGAAATATGGGAAGAGGATAGAAACGTGTATTTCTCCAGATCCTCCATCATCGTTGGGGGGAAGTGCGGTGTCGCCGTTCCTTACACCATAAGGATAAAACTGGCGCAAGGGAAGTGAAAAACATGTAGTTATAAACTGGGCAAAAGCGAGAAACACTTTAACCTGCCGCAAAAACATCGTGTGTTATTTAGTCGAATGCTGTTAGATATCTGTCTATCAGGATATGTTACTTACCTCTCTGTATTTAAATGAGAGCACAGAGCCTTGGAGTCAATCAAGTCTAAAGTGTAGTGTTTTTATAAGCTGATTAAGACCCATAAGCCATTTTCTGTCTCAGCATCCCATCCGTTGTAGCGCTGTATAAAGCCATAGTACTACAAAACGGAAACAATTTATCAGAGGTACATATATCCCTGTGGAACTTTGGTTACCTTTATAATGACTTATCAATCATCATTGAGTAATTTATGCAGACAAATGATTTTTTTTTTCATTTCTGTTCTGATCCTTTAAAAGCACAACATTAACCATGCACTTTTTCCTTGGACTTCCTCGTTCCTTTTTCCTTAAACTACATTTTGAAGTAATAACCCTTGGACTCAATCTTTTCCTTAATCAGGTGACCTGTAGGTTATTTCCTTGAACTTGATAATACCTTGGGTATTTAATTGTTAAAACGTGCTCCTTCGTGTTTTAGAGATTAAGAAAGAACACGTCGACGGCAGTAAAAACGTTTCTATAATAGTGATTTCGCGTTATTTTCAACGTCCTTTTCCGGCCTATTATTTAAACCCGTTCAATTTTTAAAATCTGGCCGAATTCTCCTGACACTGAATTATTAAGCGAATCCAATTTCAGAGAGAGCCGAACAACTGGACGTCTAGCTTATTTTAACGTGCTTCATAAAACGTCACACTTCCAGCTTTAGCTTAACCTCGTAGTCGTGCCGAAGCGGCAAAAAAATGATCTCAAGACGGTGCGACGCATGTGAAAAATGATGATTACCATTACTTCTGTTATATTTTACTTTTTCTTTAAATTCTTTTTTTAATTAACTCTAAATTTCCGACCTATCTATAGGGTGGCCCATGACCCATAGGAAAAGATATGCAATAAACAATAATTTTGTACAGTCGAACCTCTCGGTACGGACACCTCTCTATTTCGGACAGTTTTCAATGTCCCGACAAAATTCTCATAGATTTCTTTAAAAAAACCCTTTATAATGCGGACTCTCTCTAATACGGATAATGGACACTAAATCTCGGCCCCAGAGAGTAAATTCATATAGACTTAACCTCTTCAGGTTTTTACGGGCTCTGCGGTGATCAGATGATTCCCGAATCCCAACCAGGGGAATCTTCACAGGGTGAATCCCGTCTGGCTGATGAGCTATGTAAGGTGATTTCAAAAGCTCAGTCGCTGTATATCAAACAACGATTTGCGAAAGGTGCCACAGAGGAACATAACTACCTTTTTTAGTTGAATAACTACAGATAGCATAGAAATCTTTTCAATTACATTTTGTACTCTAGTTACTTATTACTGCAATTGCAGAATAGCGAAAGACGCTCTCAGAATTGTGGTTTACGTTACAGGCCTTTTACATGCAGCGTTGCGCTGTAACTCGTTTCGTTTTAAAACAGTGATTTGTCTACGACTGTACATGCGTAGCTGATATGTACAATAGGGAGTTTAAGATACGGAGACTACGGACTACGAACTACGGCTGGACGAGCGTTGTTCTTTGTTTGTAGCACTGGGTTGAGTCGTGCAAATGCGTATAGAACGTTAAGATTGCACTACAGACAGTAGACTACGAGAGAAGAGGCGGAGAGGGAAACAACACGCAAAGATTTTCTTGTTTTCATCACAGTTCACAAAAATGCAAGTCAGTTTTGCATGTGATCTTATCTTTAGCACAATCAGCAAATTCTTCCGTACTTGAAGGAAGCAATTACGTCGGGTGAAAATTCAGAGCCGGAGCAAAGTTTGGGTTACACAGGTTTTATTTTTTTCGCCCATGAATACTTATGTCAAATATTAAAGAAATAGACAGAAATAGTACTAGTTCATTTATTAGATTTAGAAGATGGACTTCTCCGACAACTGATCTGATGTAGTTTGAAGTATTGAAATGTCGAGTTTCGATTGTCTCGAAGATATTTACATCATTTTCATTCAGCAAATGCGATACAAAAACTCGCATAAACAAAGGTTACACAAGTAGAAAGACACACTAATCAGTTCGAACAAACATTGCAACTTTTCAAGTGCGAAGAGAAAGTAAATTACCTGCGTGATTTCTCTTCTCCTCAGCCGTCAATCTGAATTCTGCGTATAAACAGCTAAGCTTATTTAAATATGAGCTTAGCTAGATAAAAATGTAGTCACAAATTAGACAAAACTCACATATTTCGCTTGCCCCTCACTTAAAGTAGGTGAATTGAAAATTTTTTTACGAAAAGATGAGATTCTTGAATTACCGAGGCGGCAAAATGCGAGCAAAATGTTCTCCGTAGTCCCGACTACGTGAAACAGCTCAACAACTCACCGTAGTTGCAGGACTACGCGGGAAAAATGAACAGTCACGTGGTTTTGATCATGCGCAGTAGCATGTTTAACCGTAGTCGTAGTCCGTAGTCGCAGTATCTTAAACTCCCTAATGTTGTATGCTACTGAAAGACAGCGTCCTTGTACTGTGAATTAACAAATTTAAATGCAGTTTAAAGAGCGTGAGCCTGGTTTTAGCTACTGAACACTTAAAACTGCAAGTGGAGTCATAAAAGTGACGTCATCGTAGTGACCTCTTTATACGGACACTTTGCTCTGTTCCTTCGGTGTCCGTATTAGAGAGGTTCAACTGTAGTACTTTCCACTCGACTTGGACTCACTTTTCGTTTTTTGTTCGCCCGAATTTTCGCCTGTTAAAAAAATATTCGTTTTATATAGCCTGCGTAGCATGGTGGTTTTGGTTGGGCGAGCAAAGTAATGGCAAAGAAACCGCATGAGGAGATTGGGGCGGGAGCATCGAGAAACCATTCGCTGCTTCGCCACTCGTTCGCGCGCGCATTGCGCGCTTTTTTTCGGCTTCGCCGCTCAGTAGTGCTCCCAAGAAAACCGCCATGCTGCGCAGGCTATGTTTTATATGACGTCCGAATGGTTGTTACTGTTTTACAGGTTAACAAACCACCTATTATTTAAAAACGACACCTTTAAAAATAAATCCATCTATACTGTCCATAGTTCTTTACATTTGGAACATTATATTTGGACCAAACGCTACTGTTCATTAATCTGTTTGTGGTCCAAAGCTTCCCGTTCCTTTGAAATGTAATCATGAATGCCAAAGCCGGGGCTGCGATATCGCTCTCACAAACCTCCTAGATCATTTGGCTTACTTCCTTGCGACTAATCTTCTTTTATGTTTCATTGAGCGTTTTGCAGTTCAAAGTTATAACTTTTGTGAGCACTTATCGAAGGCTTTGAGGTATATGGAATAAAGATGATGTGAACTGTGGAAAGACTAATTTAAATGGGGATATGAACCCTAATGATCGAGGCTGTGGTAACTGCAAATTGTAATTTAAGCAATTTGCAAATTAACCCCCACCCCCCCCCCCCTCACGCAGTGCTCTAAGTGGAACCATTTTAACGAACCTATTTGCGGGTAACTCATTTTCAGAATCACTAATAACACAGACAGTGTGCATATTAATCTAGTCTGTATTCAGTGTAACTGTAATAAATGAATAAAGTTTTGTCCCTCAATAAACGTGTCGCGTGTTCATTGAACAACCTACTCTATTTTCTTAAAATGGTCCCACGAGGCTTTCCTCACGGTCGAATTTCTATGCAAACATGGGCTTGTTGACTCGCATCATTAACTGACAAACGGTGCAGTAAGAGGTATACTCACAGGATAAAGTTGTCTTATGTACTTTATTGTTAAAAAAAGTAACGATCGAGTTGATGCAAGGGATAACTCGGACGCAGGTGCAGAAAAAAACAGTGCTAAAAATGGCGTTTTTGGCTGTCTTTTAGAGCACGTCGTACTTGTGCTCGTTCAGTTATTTTTTTCACTGCCTCTCATTTTTACCTTGCATTGGTGGCCCCTAAAAAATTTTCATGTTTGTTTTCCAACAAAAAAAAGTCTCCTTGGTATTTTTTATCTGTCGCTCTAGATCTGTGTCGCCATTTTTCTGGCTGAGCTTCGCTGGCCTGCCGCCTCTTTTTCTCTGTCTTTCTCTTGCTCTATATTCCAAATCTGTGGACATGACGATTAATCTAAGCTTAAAACTATTGCTAACACGGATACAGAAAAAATTCATCTTTCCGTTATCATCTTTAGTTGTCTCTACTTTACAAGACGCTGGTGGCTATGCGATTTCCCGCAAAAATAACTTCGAGTTGCATTTGGGTTGCCATACCTGTTGATTGAGTTATTTTACATTGGTTTGCCTGTGGTGCGGACGGTCGGTCGCTCGGGCGGTGTACTGTCACGTGATTACCAAATTTTTTAGGATGGGTAGATTTACTTATAAAACAAAAGAAGCAAGGCTGATTTTTACAGTCGGGAAGATATATATCTTTTTACCAATATTTCGGAAGGCACGGCCTTCCTTCTTTAGGGTCTTACATATAATGAATATTCTCACTGGGGCCATCTCGTACAAACGCCCCAAATCCCTTCGGGATTCAAGGATAAAAATTCCCGTGCGTTCCTAGTCTCCTGGGTGTTCTGTTTCACACAGGTTTTGTATAAATAGGCCTGTTTTGGCCTGTTTAATTCTCTTTTCGTTAAACGTTCGCCGGTCGTTAGCTTGGCGTTCTTTTTCTCTTGCCCGGTCATCGCTGCGCCATCTTCGAAGATTCTCTTCCTTCTTCGTTCTCCATGCCGGACCTAATCCCTGTTGTTCCTGCGGATGGGGCTGTTGTAGCGGCCGTTGATCCTCCAGTTGTCGCGCCTCCGGCTCCAGCCGACGCTGCCAGTGACAACAACGCACAGAACGCTAACGACAACGTGGTTCCTGCGTCCCAACCTGCGGCCTAGGAGGTTAGTGTTTTCTCTTGTCCTTGTATTCTTTTGTCTTCGCGCGTTTTTCGGGCTAGGCGTTGTTGGTCTTTTAGCTTGGTTCTCGCTTCTGTGTTATTAGTTTTAGTTTTCGCGTTTGTACTACTTGTTTAGTTTTCGCATCTGTGTACAAGTTTACAGTTTTCGCGTCTGTGTTACTATTTTATTTTCGCGTCTGTATTATAACCATAGTTTGGCGTCTGTGTGCAAATTTAGTTTTCGGGTCTGTGTACAACTTTAGTTTTCCGTCTGTGTTACAAGTCTGTGTGACAAATTTAATTTTCGCGTCTGTGTGACAAATTTGGTTTTCCGTCTGTGTGACAAGTTTGGGTTTCGCGTCTGTGTGACAAATTTAGTTTTCGCGTCTGTGTGACAACTAAAGTTTTTCGTCTGTGCGACAAGTCTTTGTGACATATTTAATTTTCGCGTATGTGTGACAAATTTAGTTTTCCGTCTGTGTGACAAGTCTGTGTGACAAATTTAGTTTTCGCGTCTGTGTGACAACTTTAGTTTTCCTTCTGCGTGACAAGTCTGTGTGACAAATTTAGTTTTCGCGTCTTTGTGTCAAGTGTGTTACAAGTTTGGGTTTCGCGTCTGTGTGACAAGTTTAGTTTTCCGTCTGGGTGACAAGTTTAGTTTTCGTCTGTGTGACAAATTAAGTTCCCGCGTCTGTGTGTCAACTTTGGTTTCCCGTCCGTGCGACAAGTCTGTGTGACAAGTTTAGTTTTTCCCGTCTGTGTTACAAATTTTGTTTTGCGATGATCATTCTTCACTTTCAAATTTAGTTTTCCCGTCAGTGTGACAAGTTTAGTTTTCCCGTCTGTGTACAAATTTTGTTCTCTCCTCTGTGTTACAAACTTAGTTTTCTCGTCTGTGTGTCAGATTTAGTTTTCTCCTCTGTATGGCGAATTTAGTTTTCTCGTCTGTGTGGCGAATTTAGTTTTCTCGTCTGTGTGACAAATGTTATGCATCCAGTTGTGTGCCGAGGTCCTATCGGGGCCTGTGTGACCAATTTACTTTTCATTTTCGCGTGTTTTATGATCGGTTCTCTCTCTTAAGATTTGATTTACGTGACGAGTGACTTGACGTGACGAGTCTGTGTGACAAGTCTGTGTGACAAATGTTATGAACGCGTCCTTGTGCCGGTTTTTGTCCTGTCGGGGTCTGTGTGACCAATTTACTTTCCATTCTGGCGTGTTTGTGACTCATATTCTTCTTGGCACTCCGTATGGAGATTTGATTTGTGTCTGCATGTGTGACGATTCTTTGTACTCTGTTATCTGCGGCTATGTACAAATGTTATGAATGCATCATTGGTCATCACGTTAGAGTGCCTAACGAGGTTTTGGTATATCAATCAGTCAAGACTTTATTTTACTTCGAATTTAGGGCCCGTTTACATGGAGGTGTGGGATCCCAGGTAGGTGAGGTAACCCACGGCGGGTCACCCCACCTTCCGTGTAAACATGATCAAATTAAAATGAGAGATTATATGGACAGGCGGCTTACCTCATCTACCTGGGCCCCCCCACCTCCGTATAAACAGGCCCTTAAAGATATACATATACGTGAATCCAGTGCCTGGGGGAATATAACAAAAGGAATCACCTTCAGCCTTGGAATGAGCTCAACTAATTTTTATCCTTGTTAGTCTAGGAACCATGAATTTTTTGTACAACGAAATTGGTCTATTGGCAATATAGAGTCTTCGGCTTCACAATCTACGCCTCCTATAATGCTAGAAAGTGCTGCATTTTGTAGTCTCAATGCTGCAGTTATTAACTAAATGCAAAGTCAAATCCCCTAATAAATTCAGTTCACTAGCACCAGAAAAGAATAAAAATGATTTATCACCATTTATATATTACCGAATTTATAGGCTGAACACTCCTTACTACGGATTAACCCCAGGTGATCAACAGAACAAAACATTGTTACTAGTATAAAGAACTGCAAATCTTCTTTTGAATGGCCCTTCCGATACGTATTCGGTGCTATAAGTAATTACCTTAGTTTAAATCATGTTGTAAATTTTCTTATCAGACATCTTGCATTGTTTACCGAACCACAACTAACTCATCCACCCCTTAGTCAAACGCTGGAGTTTTAACCGATTTTTCTAACCGATAATACGAACCAATTTAATTTTATTTTTCATAAAGAAATGCATTGAATGTCTCCGTAAATTACCGATTTAGTTTTCCTTGAAGCTGAAAAACTGCAACTATACACACTGGTGTCGAGACTGCTGGACGCACTTACAAGTGGCAAAACTAATGTATTGGAAAATATCTTTGCGCTTAAACTTCGGTTCTTACGGAAAGTTACAGGCCAAACCCAGAACGAAAAATGACTTATAACCAGATACTATGACTATTTTGCTGTATTGCATGCGGAGTTAAAAACAACCAGCATATTGCAGAATTAAAACCTACAACTTCCTGCAAACAAAACTAACCGCGAGCTGGGCCCAGCGCCGGTGATACAACATTGCAGGAAAATATCACATTCACGTACTAAAGGAAATCGCCTAGTTTTTCAGATTCTGAAGTACTTTGGAAAAATCTAAAGAGCCTAAAAGCCTTATTTAGCCGCAATAAAGAGCTTTACGCTTCAAAAGAGGTCGCAGAAAATGCTTTTGCAATAGGACAAGCAAGTCAAGCTGGACAAGTTTTTGTTTCTTCCCAAGCAGAAACAAAAACCACAGAAAATCAATAAGCGGGTCATGACCTCTCACTGGGAAACAAGCAGCTAAAATAACATCATAGAACCCTGGCTAAAGCATAATCTACCCACCAGGGCCGAGTTGTTGGAAGGCCGGTTAGCACTAACCCAGGGTTAAATTTTGACCCGGGTCTCTTTGTCTGTTAATCAAAAGCATTTTCCCGGAAAATTTTCCCTATTCTATTTAGAGTATTTAATCATCAAATTGTAGACAAAAAGAATTAAACTGAATTTGCTTTTTAAGCTTTCATATCTGAATTCAAATTTTGTACTAACCCTGGGTTATGTTAACCCGGCTTTGAACAACCCGGCCCAGAGAAAGACGAATTGCAACAAGCAGCATTCTGGCATGAAGTAGAAGTCGTGTAGGCCTACCGACCCCTTGTTTTACACTAATTGAAAAACAGTAGAACCTTGATAACTCGAACTTACTCGGGCTAACTTGAACTAAATTTCCTTTCCCTTGATCAAAATTTCACTGAAAGTTACCGCGATAACTCGAATTTTTCTGTTTTCCGTTTCCCTTTTAGAGTTCGACTTACCCGGGTTCTACTTTAATTTTAGGCGAAATATGACAGCTTAACTGAAACATGAACCGTGAATGATCCCTTTTAAATGACCTGACCGGTTGAACTATGACGTGGTATTTATCAAGACTGTTCCAAACAGTCGTGAAAACTAAACCAATTTTTTCTAACAAAATAAAATGTTTAGACAAGGCAGCTCTTTACTAACTAGAGTGAGATGTTGCAATGAGGATTGTAGTCGTAGAATTCGTTAATTAAAATGAACAATAGTGATCGCTTGAGCTTCTCGTTTAATAAACAAAGATCTTGACTAACTGGTCTAAGGGTCCAAGTTAACAGTAGTCGACTGCATGTCTCTACTTAGGGCTCAGTCAACCTTCATCCATAGTTTTCTTAATCCAGTTAATGAATGGATACACTCTGGTGTAGAAGGTGAACTTATCTTTTTGCGCACACCCCTCCCCCCAGCTGACAAGACCAGTAGCGATCCATCTGTATCCGTCCTTTCTTCGTGCCTCTCGAACAAATGGTCCTCCACTGTCACCAGTGCAGGTATCTTGCCTTCCTTTTCCGTCACCTGCACAGAAGGTTACTGACGAGTTAAAACGGTGCGACGTGCTCCTTTGACAAATCTGATCTTGTTGAATCATGAAAGAAGAGTATTGTAGGATATTTGAATAACGGTACGTATGAGTAAGGACCTGACCAATCTTTAAGGCTTTTGTTGCTCCCCAACCAGTTACTAAACCGTATTTTCTTGGAATCGCCAAATCACCTTCTTGCTTTTGTGGGAGGCACACGGTTCGCACAAACTTACCAAGCTTGACCTCTGTTCTGAGTTTGATGAGAGCTATGTCATTATCGTACGTAGCACGCGTGAAATTCGGATGAATGTAAATGTTTTCTGCACCTATTCTGAGCTGGGACTCCTCTTTTTGTAATAAATTGTGGTCACCTATTTGTAGAAAGTACCTAAGGGAATAAAGGTGCTATTTGATTAGAATGAAGTAATCACATGATTTTGAAAGAAGTTTGGAAGAAGCAAGAATAATTTTTTTTAGAGACTAATGAATTAAAATTGCACCTGCCCATATGCCCACAAGCCTGAAAGCAAGCTATTTTCCTTTTTCATGTAATGTTGCCATTGTCGACTGTTGGATATTGGTGATAATAAAATCAAGAGTGCTTAAAATCCAAGGATTTCGGTGGAAACGTCACCATTGGGATTGGTTATTCCAGTTATTTCTGTTTCGAAATTTGTAGGAATTAATGAATTACAAATATGTTCATTTAGGATCATATGCATTCGACATTTTGGTGTCTGACATGATTTTTATTTTTATGTTCTGACTAAGTAATCGGCTTGTTGGGCTTTCAACGTGGGTGGGTGGATGAATAACTGGATGGTGAGCATTTCAATTCAAGAAAAAAAAATGCCCTCAAGCACTTACAGTACATCTCTATTGTTATTGTCAAATCGGAGCTTCCATCTTAAATAAGCCGAGAAACGCGATGCTGTAGTCAGAACCCAACGAGGAGAAATCAGCACACCACTAAAAGCAGGTTTTAGAGGACCTGGGTAAAGAATGAAAAAAAGAAATAGCCAGAAAATGGTTATTTATTTAATCATTTCTTTCTTTATTTTCTAAGACGACCGGTCCAGAATTTGATTCGTTAGTGTACACTGTAAATGATCACTGATTTCGCATTCACGATTTTCTAAATTGTGACGCGATTATCAAGATCACTACCCATAGAGAAGCAAGCTTTGTAATTCATGTGAAATATTTGAAGGACAAAAAAAAAAAAAAAAGGAAAAGAAATCTAAAATAGCTCTCAGAAGCGAGAGGATATTCCTCTCTGACTCTTGCTGGTAATACAGTAGAACCCGGTTGAAATTGACAACGACGGGACATTCCATGGTGTCCGTATTGAGCGGGTTAATTTTAGAGAAAATATAAGACCTTTTTTCTCGTGAGGACAAACGAAACTGTCCGCTATATACGGGTGTCCGTATCAAGCGGGCGTCCGTAGAGCGAGGTTCAACTGTACTCAAGATAGCGAGATAATTGTAACCAAGAAAGATAGTTATAGATTAACGGACATCAACTGTGTAATTCAAATTCAATATTTATATATAAATGATGAAAATGGAGGGGAGAAGGGTGTCATGGTTAGGTTCAAAGCACTTGCAAGGTGTTGGAAGTTAAATTGCTGTTGTTTTGACATGGATGCAGAACTATCATGTGGCTTAATTAAAAGGGAGCCCTATGAGTCCTCCAGTTTCACTTTTAAGACAATGGCTTAGATGACCAACTATATACTTATTCACTCAATCACTTTAAATGTTATATATATTTTCTTTTTTTGTCCTCTGTACTATTGAGACTCTGTACATTTTCCTTTTCCTGGATTTCTTTACGAACTTATTTGTTGTACGTGTAAACATTGACACCTACCGGAAAGAAAAGCAAAAAACATTTTTGAATGGTAATGATAGCATTTATTCATGCGATTTGGGCACCAAAATTGTTTTTGAGAGTAAGATGGGAACTTAAACATTAAGCATTTTATTGGTTATTTTGAGGCTGCGCTTTATTAGGACTGGGTCGGTTTGTGTCAAACTGCACGATGAGAATGTTTTGAGGAAACGAAGTTTGGCTTAGTTTCCCGCACAGCCTCGCTATGAGCAATAAAATAAATCTCTGTAAAGCTAAGTGGAAATGAACCAACTAGTTTTCCTTCAACCTTTACTACGGCTTCGGGAATTGTAAATTCCAACATGCCATGGCCACCATCCTCTTTTAGAGTTCTTTCCACCAACAATACGACTCCTAAAATCTACTGGACTCACGCCGCAAGAGGAGTAGTCTGGAAAAGCAATAAGTACAAGAAGGATAAAAAACTAGCCAACAGTTTCAAACAAAGAAAAATACAGATGATCAACAAATCATAGTGTCTTTGAAATAACTGGAGCCTTAAAGCTACCTTGTGACATTCCATGGGCTATTCGCACTGCAAAAGTTTCCAGCTAACGAGGAAAAGCAACGGCGTTTACAACTGAGCCGTCTTGCATTGACTGCGTTTTCAACTTATTTTGCCCGCATCAGTTTTTCCCTTCCAAATAATTGACAAAAATTGACAATTTTTCTTCTGACCGTGCTCAAAAGTTAGCATTTAAGAAAATCCACCAAACAATTTTTATTTTTTATTTCTCGTGCACTCGCGCTTGTCTATATTTGAAGATTATATGGCAAGCGCGTCAAAACGAATGAAAAACTCACTTATAGATACAACAGTCTGCGTTGCAGGTACAAACGAAATATGGGCGAGACAGAAAGTTTTCTCTCGTAGACACCGCCTATTTTTTTAAAATTTTGCTCCTCTCATTTCTCAGACTCCTACTTCCCAAGTAAAATACATGTATACAGTAAGTAGTTACCTAAACATTTGGGCTCTCCCCTTTCAATCCATCTTCCTCTCTTGCAAGTTCGCATACTCTTCCCCAGCAAAACGAATCCTTTACGACAACGGTATCTTGCCTTTGAGAGGCGAATGTTGATAGCAATAATGGTGTTTTGAGGTGGATTCTTCCGGAGACGTCGAAGCAGTTTGGTGCAACTTCTGTGGGGCCCTTCTACAATACACATCAAATTAAGCTTGTTTTTAGCAAAAAGATTATAAATATTAAATAAATTTAGGAAATTTATGACATCCTACTAACTCACCGTAACTTCTTCGTGAGATAGACAGTGCTTTTGACAGCGGCTCAAAGCAGATTTCGAGCGCGTCGTAGGAGAATTTATAGGAGGGCTAGCAATTCTAAATTCTTACAGATTGTATGTGATAGAGCGCCTTTTTTCTTAAAAGGTGGTAAAAAGTCTGTTTAAAAGATAGATAGTAAGACATCTACATAACGGTAAAATGCGCAGTTGCTTAAGCTAAGGTTTAAATATATCAATTCTCGACTTACCAAATGAAGTAAACCTCGCTATTTATAAACAATCAGAATCATTTACCTTTGCATCTCGGCGTATTCAAATTCCATCTTCCATCATCGCAAGTTAGTCTGTTTTCGCCTTCAAGTGTGTATCCAGAATTACATCTGTATCTGACTGTTTTACCGTGTCCGTAGTTTTGTCCGATTTTATTACCGTGTTTTATACGACCAGGTTCTGGGCAGGAAGCTGAATTCATATAAAATAAATTGATCCATTCATTAATTAACTAAATTAATGATTCTTCATTCATGTAATTAATTAATTAAAGCTAAACAAATATCTGAGAGCATGCAAATAAGCAAGAAAACCCCAAGACGTTTTAGAATCCGCAACGATTAAAATTATTCGATCTAGTAAGATATCGACCAGTTAACTTTTTATCTTCGATCTAAAAAAACGAAAAGATACAGAAGATGCTTTTGTTTTCAATACTTATTTGAACGTGTGCATAATCGATAAAGTACGTTTTTATGGAAATAACTTGCAGAAAGCAGGTGTGAATACAAACTTATCAAGACCTATCACAAATGTATTTATGCAAGGGTCCACTGTTCTTCCCAGTTCGATAGGGCGTACCTAAGCAACGTGGCACAAGGGAACTCCAACTCCTATTAGCTTGACAATATATGACATCAGTCCCCACTAGAGTGTAATTCTTGTCACATACAAACTTGACTGAGCCACCATAGACGTAGCCTTTCTTGACAATCTGCTCTCCATTTGTTGGTTTGCCAGGATCACCACACTGAACAGCTATAATAAAATGACAAGGCATATAATTATTGTTTACGACTGACCGAGTTTGACCGGACTTAGAATTACAACATGATTTTGAGCACAATGTAGACCACAAATTGGAAAGATGCGCACGATATAAATTGTGTTTGAATGGACTCATATATTTTGTACGTATAAAAAAAGTTTGCGACACTTATTCCTTTCAAACTACGCACAAATGATTGTTTTTATAATCTACATTAAGAATGAAATTCTGTCCAATTTATAAGTGATGAGGGTTTTTAAAATTTTCTTTTAAATTTTCGAACATAAATAATGAGCAATAACGTAGAGATGGTTATTATAAAACAGTCACAATCGCCATTTGTACAACGCAAAGGCATGCACACTTAAATAGAACAACTTAATCCCTAACCAACGCAAGCAACTCAGTTCTAAACAATAGTTTACCCTTGCATTTGGGAGTATCAGTGTTCCATCTTCCTTCTTCACAAGTCAGCTCGGCCTCGCCTTCAAGTGTGTACCCAAGGATACAAGAGTATCGAACTGTTTTTCCGTGCGCGTAGTTGTTACCAATTTTAAGACCATGATTTAAATCAGCAGGTGATCGACAGTTAGCTTCATTAAAAAATGGAAAGCACAAACAGAAAAACAAACAAACTTAGCAAAATAAAAAAAGTAAATTAACAAAAGAGTTGTACTTTAAGCCACAATTTCATAATAAACTAATTGATTGAACTGTTCCTTTTTTTCTTTTTTTTCAATCCAACTTATTTTTATTCAGTACTTCAGTACTTAACTCTCAACTTAAGTATACGTATTGGTAAAAAGCTACAGTTTTCATATTTTTTTTTCTTTTGAATGTTTCCAGAACCGTCAAATCTCACTGTTTTTCTTACTTTCAAGCAGCCCTGGAAAACACCTACCTGCGCAGCGTGGAACAGAGGAACTCCAACTCCTATTAGCTTGACAATATATAACATCAGTCCCCACTAGAGTGTAATTCTTGTCACATACAAACTTGACTGATCCCCCATAGACGTAGCCCTTCCTGACAATCTGCTTTCCGTTTGTTGGTTTGCCAGGATTACCACACTCAACAGCTATAATAAGTACATCAGCTTTTGTCGTTTACATATAATAGACTGATACAATAAATGAAGATTGCAGGGTATCAAGTAAAGCTTTGGCAATGGACTGCAACTTGAATAGACTCACACGAGTTAATTCTTCTTTTAACAGTTCAAAGTTGTGGGGTATATAATTCATTTTGCAGCCATTACCAAAATATGCCACGAAATTTGAAAAGTTGCAAATCAAACAACCCGCTTTACCTCCAAAATCAACACAAGCGTTTTTTTTTTTTGGAAAACAAGAATGAACGCTTACCTTTACACTTGGGAGTGGCAGTGTTCCATCTTCCATCTACACAAGTCAGTTCAGCCTCGCCTTTGAGTGTGTACCCAAGGTTACAAGAGTATCGAACTATTTTTCCGTGCGTGTAGTTCTTACCGATTTTAAGACCATGATTTAAACCACCAGGTGAGCGACAGTTTGCTTATATAATCAAAAAGAAAAAAATAAAGCGTAAGAGAAACAGAAAATAGTAAGGGAACAAAAGAAACTCATTGGCTGATCGTGAATCTCGATTTTGCATCTACCTTGTTTAGACCATTTAGGGGCGTTTCAGGAACTCAAAAATTTAAACAGTGAGTATCTTCAAAATGGTTCAAACTAGGACAGCAAACTTAGCAAATTTTCCTAAAGATAATCTATAAGAAAATTAATTGAAATCATAGCGACCTGTACGTCAACTTTGACGTTACCAACTGGCAGCCGAGGTTTAACAGCGTTGTTTTACAAAATTTGCCTTTTTCTGTAAAACATGATTTATTTCAAGGTTTACGTATTGAATTGGTGTGTCACGCTCAATTTAGAACTAGTAATAGTTGACACTACAGCTGCCCCCGCTCTGTATATTGTCGGGCAATAGCATTCTTGCTCGTTGTGTAGCTCTTTGAAATTAACCGTTTTCACACATATTCCATACAATAGGGGAGAAAAATACAGGAAACGCAAGGTTCCATGCACAGTTTCAGGTCGATTTACACAGCTTTTATCAAAACATTCTCAGTTTCGAGAATAGTTTTTTCTAAGCCATAAGAAAAGATTTAATCAAAAGTTGAATATTTCGCTATTTCTCTTTCACTTTTTACATTCAGTTCACTTTATTTGCCGGGATTTCGCCTTCTGGGCGAAATCCCTGCGGGGCAATCATTCTAATTGTTTACAATAATGGTTAGTCTAATCCAAGCCTTTTGATGAAAGCATTGTCCTCAGTTTTTCAATACTCAGGAGAAATGAAAAACAAAGGTTATGCAAAACTTTGGAGGGCAAACGAGGTGTATTATGAGAGAAGCGGAAATCGCGAATTCAAATAAACCTGAATATAAAATGACTTACGAGGTAGATGTTGGGTTCAAATTTCAACAGCGTTCAACAATGTTAATTGGTAGAAGTTTTTCTTTCTTTTTTACTGTTAATTTTACAATTACAAGTATTTTTAATTTTATTTATCATTATTTTTTTATTAGTTTGGCTTTTTAAGCATATTTTAATACACAGATCATATTTTATATCACGGTTTCTTCGATTTCTACAGGTTTTAAACAAAATTAATTCAAAATTGCAGATTCAACATGGCGTTGTTCCAGTTCGTTTTCTAATAATAAACAAAGTCATCATGACGTCACTGCTATTGTTAAAGATTATCAGTGTATTAGCCAACTTCATGATTTATTCAGACATTTCGCTATTTTAGCGTTTCTCTCTTTAAGGCTACTCCTAGGGAAAAAATGAAAAGATGAAATGTGGGTTTTGCTTATAACTTACGAATGTCACGTCATAAGTACGTCAAATTACGTCAGTTATCCCTAGATGTTGAAAATGATGAGTACATTTATTTATTAGGTATAATTTTGGTGGATTTGCCATGATCTGTTTTAAAGTTACAGAGGGGAGCCTCCGACGTACACCGGTCTTACGAAGCCAAAAAAAGGAAAAAGCATGATCAGATTAGAGATAAAGTTTTGTTTACTCGGCCGTGTGACAATAAGTTAATTTGTTGAAGCAACGAACTTTCGTCGTCTATTGTCGAACTTTTTTGGTTTAAACACTACAATATTTCACTGCTAATTTGTGTATAGATCATTTTTTAACGACCGGGAAATGTAACTGTCGTTTTTTTTTACTTTTAAAAACTGTTTGAATAAAATCAGTCAGCGGAATAAAAGTCTTTCATTTTCTCTTACCAATAACACTTACCTAGGCAACGTGGAACAGAGGAATTCCAACTCTTTTTAGCTTGACAATATATAACATTAGTCCCCACTAGAGTGTAATTCTCATCACAAACAAACTTGACCGATCCACCATAGACGTAGCCTTTCTTGACAATCTGCCTTCCATTTGCGGGTTTGCCAGGATCCCCACACTCAACAGCTATAATAATTGCAAGGGAGCTAAATTTTTAACCTT